GCACCATTTCTCTTTCTGTTTCGAAAGTACCATTTACAAAATCCTGCTGGACGCTCGGAGTGTCCCGCGTTTCCTGCTCTATCGTCGATGATTTATTCAATCGAGCGGTTGTCGATATTTATCGTACGGCCAGCTCTCTCGCGGCGCGCGAGACACTCGACGAGATAAATCATATTATCGTGGACAAGTAGTGGCCAGTACGTGGCAATCTGCGCCGATGCCAAAACGGCCGCTCGTATGAACATGGAAATCATATTAGACTAAAACCACATTGCTTAATGGACGCCATCTGCCCTTAATCCCATTATCCGCCACGATTCATCACTGGTCTCTCTTTTCCAACCCCTCGTTGCGTCGATGCGATATTGTTTGCCGTAACAACTCGTCTTCGAGGCGACCTATTACGAACTCCACCCCGTTCACGCGTTGTTCCCATGTTTTCCCTACAAACCTCGTCGATTTTGTCGCTTGTCACGGAATTCGAGTCGTCGCGACGGCAGATAAATATTTAGATTCCAGATTTCGACGCGTTGGACGTGTTCGCGTTTGAACGGAATCAACCTTTTAACCCTCGCAATACTGAACCTTTGTTTTTTGTATGAAGTACCAAGAGGTGGGTGCTTTGTATCCTTCAAATAAATACCTGCAATGATTCACTGCTGTTTGATGTTGTAAATAATTGACGTTCCGAACTTTATATTTAAACTGCATCGGGAGTATATTTGAGAATAAATGTTTTAAAATAACGTGACTCGTTAAAATTAAACGGATGTTTTTTACTGATTGACAATTTGGTAATAATTCGATAACTAATATGATTTAATCTTGTACAGGAGAATAAAATAAGATCCTAGAATGGTTTTCTTAATAACTCGATCGTCATTTGAAATCCAATTTAACGCAAAAACTACTTGTTCAGCTAGCAAGCTCTCCAGGTAGCTCGTTCCCAGTGACCAGAGGATGATCATCAAAGTTACTATAACTCATTTAAGAAGAGTAATCGCACGGGACCGAGATCAGCAGGAAATACGACGTACTTAGAGGCGCATTATGCAGTCTGCAAGTAAATCCAGGTCACTTCCTCGTTTCTAAAATCTCGTTAACGATTTCCGAGCGAGAAATTTAATCGAACTAACCGGTGAACCATAGACGTTTCCTTTGCCACCTATAATTCCCGTTAATCAATTTTGTTTCGTACACTCGGCGATGTGTCCCGCATTTTCGACGAAACGAACCGCAGACACCCCCATCGTATTACGGCGCTGCACAAAGCGAGATCAAACGCGGATAACAATGCTTGATCAATCGGAGAAGCTAGAAAAGCGGATGAAAAGAATGGAGCGTGGAAAACGCGCGGATAAAACGAAGCACCCTCGTTGAGAAATTTTGAAATAATGGCCAGGAGAGAAAGGCGGGGAACGGTAACACGGTGTCGATGACGAAACGAATTTCAATTGGTTTTTGGTAGAATCGAAACGACCGGTCACAGTTGCGGCATCGTGAGTAATGGCGGTTTGATTTAAACTTTCTCGATAAATGAAATTTCTGGCTGCGCAGTCGCGGCGACGATTGATGAGAGGTCGCGGCTCATACCATCGGCCACCGTTCATTACCAACGATTGTTTATTTGTGATAATTGTCATCTATCAATGTTATGAACATCGTTCTATCCTGTCAGATCGAATGCCCCAATAAAAGTTCGGAATTATAGCGACAGCAATTGCTAGAGAATTTCGTTTGCGTCGAATCGAGGTTTATTTGAATATCGCTCTCGAATTATCTTCATCGAATACCTGTATCTCGTATACTAGAAGCTTCAAAATTCTCAAAATATCTAATTTTAGAGGAAAACTTTTCAAATTCACGAACTTCCAAGCTCGTTAGCAGACTTATAGAACCCGTTGGCACTAATTTTCGTTAAATAAATATAATAGCAGGTGTATCGCGAAGAAAATACGTGACTGACACCGTATTCTCCTCGGGAGCCAAGCCAATTTACCATTTCATCCTTCGAAACTGTGTTTTTCATAAAAACAACGTGTCAAAGTTTAGTCAGAATTCCACTCACGCCCGAATCGTCATTTCCTATTCGCTCCAGCAGTGTAAACATCCAGAATTCTAACCGTGGCAGGGATATATTTATTCATTCATATATTCATTAGTGATATTTCCTTGGCCTCTCTCTTGCTCTCTCGGTGTTTCGACGCGAAACTGGGACAAAGTGTCGCGGAACGAGGAAAACTTAGGCACAGGGTAATATTAACACGGCTCGAAGGCCGTTTAAAAGCGAACTGGCTAAGGGATGCAAATGACGCGAGTTCTAATCAAACTCGCGTTTCCAGCGACTCGTTAAATGCAAAGCCCTCGTTCCGTCCATTCGCTCGTTCATCGAAAAACGCGGGAAAGAACGATTCGCTTATCGGAAATCTTAATCCTGGCTAGCCCGTTTCATTCGACGCGTTTCGCGTTTATTTATGCATGCACGGCTTCTTGCCAGCAAAGTGTTTTGACCTTTCATGATTCCTTTTCCCTTTATTTCAACTTTATTTCCGTTTTTAATCCTCGGTATACACATGAGAATACTATAATTTGATAATAACAGATAAAAGTCAGGTGTTATTTGCTAGGAGCCTTGTTAAAATTTTATTTAAATTGTCTTAGTAATTAGCACGTATTAACTGTCTTCGTCGTTAATAATTGAATGTACATTCGTGGAGAAAGAGTTCTGAATGTGCTTCACTGCTTCATAACGAAGATTTTGTGCTGAGAAGGAGAAAAATAAACAGAAGGGACGCAAGAAAAACAATTGAAGGAAGTTGCAGATAGAATAGCAGGCAGTTTGCAATTCATTTTGGGCCACGAACGCGAGCGGTTCAAAAGTGGGAAGAGATGTAGCCTGCAAGGGAACCGGTACACACAAAAGGGAATAGGTAATGATGCACTTAAAGGGCTACGCGATTCAAAGAGAAACTAAATATACCGGTACTATGCACGCTGCTAATAAATACAGGGAATGGCAAACTAGTTGCGGATTCGTGTTTTTAATGGACCGTGTGTCGCGAATCGTTAGTCGCGTCTTTGAAATCTGCCATGAAATTCTCGAGTCGCTTGGTAATTAGAAAACTCATCGGCTAATCGGTTAATATTTGCTTTGAGTTTATTAAACCTTTAAAAGGTTCGAGCAAAAACGTAGGTTCAAAAAATTAGTAAGTTTTCAAAGGTACAAATATACGATATGATATAATGTGATATTATTTGTGATAATCAATTAATGTAACATTCGTTAGAAGGTTAGACAGCAGCACAAAGTGCGTATTTGTGTATCGAATTTACTTGGGGATGAATTTGATACTCCAATGAAATGTTAGTACACCAATATACATATAGTCTGTTTGATGTACTGTGTTTATGTCTGGCAAACTGTGTTCAGAAATTTATATTTCCAACTAATATAAGCAATATGACTGACTTCATCAAAGGAATTGATATTAATGTTTAACTTTCTGAAATTTTGATGAAATTAGAAATTAATGTTCAAGTTCAAATAAATGATACTGGCATCATCTTAAGCATTCTATATTACACTGAACTTAAAGACAAACGTATTTTATTCCACGAAACAGGAGAAATTTAAAGAATAATCAAAAATATATCTAAAAATTTTATTGACACCTAATGTGAACTTGTTCATAACATATTACATATGTCTGAATTACTCGAATGATATTTGTAATATGTAATATAGTGTTTTTAGATTAATAAGTAAAAAATCGCGCACAAATTCAAATATATAGTCATGTGCTGCCACCTAACGTCAAGGTGTCGAAAAGTTCTTAACAGGAGATCAGATAAGCGATTGGGGGTGGCACAAATATTTCGTACAATATCCAATCAAGAACTGTTTTAATAAAGTGAAACAATTACAAAACAGTTGATATTACAGCATGTAATATACATAGATCAATTATTAATTTACACTAACTGTAAGTGTTGAAATTGTTTATAACAACAGCTGTAGAATATGATAACCGAATTATGACACACGGTATAGAGACGAATCTCTACACGAAAACTAACGTAAGATTAAAGTTAATACAAAAGTGATTTAGCAACTTTAAACAAACTTGCTGAAAACATCCCTTATCAACGTTAAATGACAATTACGCGCAATGTCATTTAGTACACCTGTAAAAAGAACAGCTCATGCAGTAAAAATCTACCAAGATCCGCTGAGAAATCGATGAAAACCGTGTGGTGTTAATTTTGTACGCGACCAAAGACGATGACAAACGATAAATGAGGACTTACCACTCAGATGTGATATTTGGAGCACCGGTGAATGTTGCAAACAGGGTGGAATCAAAGTTCACTCGAACACAACACACGAACACCGTATATCCGCACTCATTATACACGAAAATTATTCTACGATCGGAAGTTCATCGCGAAATACACTGACACAAGGCGCGTAAACACGTTTTCGAACCTGTAAAATCGTAAACGTTGACAGCGCCTTTGACAGCAGCAAGTCGCGTGCGCCATGGCTGTCAGAACAGCTGTTCACTGGAGGGAGGGTCTGGGTTAGGGGTTGTAAAAGATTTTGTTATTATTCCTTGGCCATCTAGCAACGAACGTAGGAAGCATCTGTTCGACTACAGAAATCTTTCGAGGATAAGATAGGTATTTTGTATTATTCTATCACTCATTCACGATGATCACTGAAGGTTAAAGCGGGTGAATTCAAACAACTTGTGATTTTCGTAACTCAAAAATTCTCTTTAATACTTTTTCACGTTTTCTACACTGTTGGCAGTCGAAATTTTCGCAAACGATTATACCACGATTTAAGCGCAATTTCAAACGTAATTTCCTTTACAATAGAACTATTTGAAAAAAACGGTACTGCGACTAAATAAAACTGTAAAACCGCTGGTTTGTTCGTTGTCGTCGATCGCGCCAGAGGGCGGTGTCTGTACCGCTCGAACACTTGTTTGGTCGATAATTCGAGACGTTTCCGAACAGAAACGTGGTGTGGCAACAAAGTGCGCTGCTTTTAACGTCAGTGAGAAACGTTTACAGTGATTTATTCAGTATTTTGTGATAAATTTTCGACGAAACTCGTAGAAAATGTCGAATAACGAGGAGAAATTCGATGGAATGTTGTTGGCTATGGCGCAGCAACACGAAGGCGGTGTGCAGGAGGTACGTTTTCTTTCGTTACCGGTTTAGGTTATATTGCACTTGTTAAACCAACATTATTTATCAAATAACTCGAATCTTGTATAAAAATTGTTGTTTCGTTCGCAGCTCCTTGACACAATCTTCAGTTTTCTCGCGAGAAAAACTGATTTCTATACCGGAGGAGGTGATGGAGCTGCAGAAAAGGTGAATATTCTTTATCATTTCTCCATCAGTTTCAACAGTGTGGTGTCATCTTCCAAACATTGTCGTCATGTTATGAAACTATTATAATTAAAGCTGATTTTACCTGTCTCTGCTCACAGCTTGTCACCAGCAAGTTTAAAAAGCATGAAGCTACAGCACTTGCCAAGGCTGCCAGTGAGAAAGCAGAACGTGCCGAACAAGAAAGACGCCGCAAAGAAAGATTAGAAAAAAAGAAAAGAGAAGAAAGGGCAGAAGAAGAAAAACTTAATTCAGAATCTAAGATCGTTGAATTAACAGATGAACAGGCTGCTAAGTTACAAGAAGAAATAGATAATAAGGTATGCTTTATAGATCAGCTTTTTGTCTATGACAATGCACATTTTCTAATTGTACTTTTTGTTGGTTCAAGAAATTGGAGAAAGAGGCATCTGCAGTTCCTGGGCCCAGCAGTGATAAAGCTGCTGATGAAATTGATAAGAAAGAGGAGAACATGGAGGATGAAGAGGAGGACGAGAAAGAAAAGAACAAACTCAGGCCTAATAGTGGAAATGGTGCAGACTTACCAAACTACAGATGGACCCAGACACTTCAAGATCTGGAGGTAAGTGATACAAATATTGTGCATGCAATTAAATTTCTGATTCTTTTGCTCTGAGTCAGAGCTTTAATATTTTGATTATTATGTCAAATATCTTTTTGTATTAAAATGTATTAGGTTTGATTTATTAGTTGGTAAATTATCTTCTGCAATTTGTATTGGAGATATGATTGATATACTAAAGTATTTTAGAAGTTTGTAATCAATTTGTAATATATATTAATATTATGACATATCTTATTACATAAGTATTATATATTTGTGGCAAGTGACATTTGTACCAAATACTTGCAGCTGTTATATTATTTAATTTATAATAATTGAACGTATTAATAATTAAATTCAAACTCATTAACGAAGAAAGTGATTAGAAAATTGCAATATGCGTTTATTGTACAAGGATAGAAGGGAATAGGGATGAAATAAAACAACTGTTTCGTTTTTATCATGGTTCGACAGTTTCTTGTTGAATCGACGATTAATTAATACGCAAGTAATATCACAGTTTCGAGAAGCGATCGCTTCTCATCGCTTTTCCGTTACATTCCCTGGAACACGACACCCCGACACGGAATCCAGGTTTGATTCAGGCATTCTTTTGTTAGTAACAATTAAATAACGACCCCTAAGTTAACACATCCACGAATCATACTCCCACCTCGTCGATTGCTTCGAACTGTCCGTCAACGTTAATCGAAGAAATATGTGTCTGTATGACTTGCGAACATTTCGTTGGACGACGACATTGTTAACTACCCTAAAGCGTCACAGTGTTACGAATATTTCGATGATTCTCTGTGATCAGTTTGAGCAGCATCGACGGGATTTCTGATAGCAGAAATCGATCGAGAATTAGGAGAAACTCCTATGGAATAAGCAAAGTCCATTTATGTATCATGTCGCCGTCCCTCTTAATAGAAAAGAAAATGAAGGGGAAAGAAGGGTTCTACGATAGTTGTTGAATGTAGAGGGTTGCATAAACCAGCGATGGACAGACCAAGTGTACATTGAGTTTAAGTTTTCATATTATTAAAGGGATTGAAATTTCCAAATTCTTTAATCGAGAAATTGACTACTCATCAGTGGCCACGAGTGTACTCCACTTGTTCGTTTCGCATAATTGTCCATTTCTGGTTCAAACCCTCGGCTAGAATATTCGAGCGCTCCAACGAGTTAAGGATCGCGTTTAGCTACCTATTCCGCGCTTACCTAAAACTAGCTTATTACTTGAATGTAATTACTGAGTTTTCACGTACCGCACGTCGAACACGGTGCAATACAGCCTTTGAAACTTTGTCTCTGATCGAGAACGTCTAATCGAATCGCCCTAACGTTCTAAGTGATAATATACATGTACATTATAAATACGAATAACGCGGTCGGTCGTGAACAAGGAAACTAATGTCTTCGACGTAAGTTTCTTCGAACGAACGATTTCGTCCTCTTCAATTGAATTGAATCTGGATGATTGTCCATGCTCACTCCACTGCTCCGTCGTGTCCGGCCTTTAATGGTACTTGTCAAGAATTCTCACTGTAATCAGAAATGGACAATCGTGTCGGGAAATTTCCTAATTCTATAGAACGTTTGAGAATTGAAGAGGATACTCACTTTCCATGTAGAGGATTCCGAGCAGCAGGCCGACCATGAATAGGAAGCTCATCGTGCAGACGAGCACGGTGAGTTGGTGTCTCGCGCAACAGGACTTCCTGTAGACGGTGGTAGGTCTACCTAGACCGTTGACGACAGTGAAATGAGTGCTGCTCGCGACCGAAGCGGTGTCCATCTGCTTCGGCGCCGTAACCGTGGGCGGATGAATAGCCGCGAGATTAGCCAGATTCGCTGCTGTCAATAACAACGTGCCCGACGCGGCACTCTGCAACACGGGAACACACGTCGGTTCATCAATCACTCGATCGAACGTCCAAGATCGCGCGAGATCTAGCGACTGGTGCCGCCTTTGATCCTTCCTTCGATGTTGTAATTGAATTTATTGATCGCGAGACTCGACGTATCGGTTAGCCATCTCTGCTCAATCTCTCTACGTTTTTCCTTGAGTTAATGTATTTTCCTTTTTTATGGTAACGCTTTCTTCGATTATCCGTCAGGGATCTTCTGGTTTATCGCGCGGAACGGGTGACTACTTTAGAGTTTGCTCGAAGGTTGAGTCTTTAAGAGTTATTTAAAAGGATGTAAAGGGGGAGAGTATCTTGAATACCGTTACTAATAGAACGAAGGAATGATCGTATCGTGAGGACGTTGATTACAGAGGATGAAGAATCGAAGGTAGAAGATTCTGAGTAATGTCGAAGTTGATTCTAATACTTTGAGTGACTCTAGCTTGAGTACTTTGAGTTCAACATTAGGACAATCTCTTAAACAGACACGTCTCTATTACATCTCAGCTTACAGAAAAGCTATCAAACTGTTAATGACTTAAAAAAATAACTTCAACTGTGAAGCTACGGAATTTCGAATCATCCCCAATTACAATAATTGTACCTAATTGATGTATCCGTTAACAAAAATGGAATGTTAAGAATTCGAGTGTTATTTCTTGAAAATGAACCAAAGAAACGACAAAACGTAATCAAGACCTACGTCCTGCAGCTGTAGACCTATAATTTAGTTAAACTGACTTACGTGTGTGCTGGCGGTAGATCCTTGCGACGACGTGGATCCTCTCGAGGGAGAGTTCGGATGCAGATGATGAGCCCAGCTACCATTTTCGCTGTCCCTCTCGCTTCGGCCGACCAAGGACGGCCTTGGAATGTGCCAGGAAAGCGGGCTACCAGCTACCGCGGTCGTAGTCGCCGTCGCCTCGATCTGAAACCAACGTAAATCGACGTGATGCTTTGATTGCATAAGCGATAATGTCGCGCCGATTACGCTTCTTCTGATTCGCCCGCATGTCCTCTACCTGTGACCGCGTGCATCGTTTGTCTGTCCACTGTGAACATTATTTTACGTATAACCACGGTTTCTGTTCGACGAAAAGATCGATTTATGTACGGGTTCGCTCTAACTCTGTGCATTTGATATTTAATGTGGGATTAACTGTGAGGTTGATCAACCGATGCAAATAGGGATAACCTCGGTAATTAGGAGTAGAACCAGCATGGGTGCATTTCTTTGCATACTTCGTTTTCGAAACACTGTCGCAATTACGCGTTGTATTAGGTCGGTTCCACCTGCGGGTAGTCGCAGGTAGAAACATCATCAGATACACCAAACGTGGCGTAACTTTGTAGCGATCGCAAGAGGGAAATTTCCAAATTCCAATTTTCAAAGCAAGCTATATATCATTGGGCACGAATGCAGGTGAGTTGCCCTTGCTGCTGGCGCAGAAATCGCTGCTCCGCAGAACAAGTCCTCGCGGGTTCTCCCACTTCATCATCGAAAGAAGAATTTCGGCGCTTCGACCCGGGGAGACCGAGCTCTCGATATTCCGGTTTGATCGTTGCACAACGTCCACGGTTCTGGATCGACTTCGGCGGCTGGTCGTCGGACGTTATTTTCTGGCCGGCATTTGATCGCGAGCGTTTCCTCGGTCCGCGAAGCACCCTGCGAACCAGGTGCACGGCCGCGAAAACGTTTTCAGGGCCAGGAACGAAGTCGCGCGAGCGGATTTCCGCGACTTTGACGGGTGTCCTGGTCCGGGACTCGCACGCGAGTACGCAGGCCGATTACGACCAGGTTAATTGGCCATTTTCGCACGTAAATCAGCCGCGTTTCGCGCCACGGTGGCCTACCTTCGGCATCGGTCACCGCCCAAGGTCCGACGCGTCTCTGGACTTCTTTTTCGTCGTGCACGCTTCGATCTGGTTGTTCGCTGGCGCCCTGCGTTCCCGGTCCGAGTATCGGCTCTAATGGAACGCCGGCTGGACACGATTTATGCGTCCTGTCGGGCGTGGTCGGCGCAGAAAATAACCTGGAAGCAGCCTTGCTCGGCATTTTTGCCGATCGATCCGATTGCGATCTTCCGGGACTCCACGAGAACGGCTTTCGGTCCACGTTTTCGTGTTGCCGGGCAAATCGAACGCCCATAACGTTAATCTGTAGGGAAATTGCACGATTGATGACTGCGCGGCTGCTGCCCGGACAGACTGCGAGTACCGATAGTCGCTGCGATTATCGGCCTCTGCGTAAGCTCGTTCTCTTGTACGTCGTGGCCCGAAGGACGACGTATTTTTCGATCGTCAGGATTTACAATGCGAGGTTAGGAAATACGAGTCCGATCTTTTCGACACCTTGGATTCGAGATATCCTCGCGACTCGGACGTTTCGTCAGCCAGTCACGATCCACTATCTTGTACATAAAAATGGCTTAATGAGTCGGAATTGCTTTGATCTCTTAGTCGTTGATAGAATGTTTTGTTGCTGGAGGCACGATTTGTACAGACAATGCGTCAACTGTCGTCGGTGATTATCGTGCCATTTTTCCATTTAAGGATGAGTCGCCATTTGGCAACGTATCAGAAAATCTTGAAAAGGTTCATCCACGAAAATGTATAGAAGATTAAAAGCCACGGTCCCATTTACGCAAACTCCTAGACAATGGAGAACGGCGTCGGGATCGAAGTTTCACAACTGAATCTCGATACCTGACAGCGAGCACGGTGACAGGTATTGGTTGGTATACGAGTCGGTGTATCTCGAAATTTTTGTCGACACGGGAGGAGGAAGAGGGAACTACGGAGCTCTGGAACCGAGACAGAGCCGAGAGAATGGCTTGGGCCCGAACGTTCCAACAGAGGCGTCGTTCAGAATTTTTGTGGAATTCAATACACTGGTCAGCCTCGAAGCGCCGCACCTGTGCTGGGCCCACGAGTAACGCGACACTCTGAAACATGGATTCTTTTGCCAGTCGACATTACTTCTCCCTCGCCAGAATGGAGGTGGTTTTTTCCTAGTCAGGGTGGGTCTTTCCCTGGAATGTGGAAATACGCGGTACTTTGTACTTCGTGGTTATACAACGCATGGTGATATAAGGGCCTAACGGTGATCTAACGCGTGGTGACGTAACGTAGCTATCTTTCTGGGATAAAAATTCTAATTTCGTTAATGTGATGCGTTTCGCTATGGAGGGATAAATAAGAGGAAAGTAAGATTTTTGTACGGGGAGTGTTTCTCTATTCCTTTGAGAGGCAAATGAGAGAGAAAAACGGGAAAGTATCATTAGTGAATATCCTCGAAATCCGAAAGCGGTTACCTCATCGCAGTCGCGTCTCTAGGCACGTTGATTCATCGATCTTTGTCCCCTTTTATCTGACGATGCTCTTGGAAGATTTTTGCACCATCCGGAGACTAAATGTATGAACGTTTGCTAAATTTAGTCGAGAGTAGGTGTTCATAACTCTTTGTTATCCGTTTGTGATGGCTCATCTTGGTGATCTTATCTGTCTATTCCGAAACTGCAAAAACTGCAAGGAAAAACGGTTACTTAATCTTCGCCTCTCTTGAATTATCTAATCATCTTCTGCGTGTATACAGTTTTCGTAGTTTCAAAATTAAGACAATTTATAACGTTATATTTATGTCGCTGACTAACTCAGACCTTCAGGCAACTTTCTTATTACTTTCACAGTCGATTTTGTCCCAACCGTAAAATTAACGACTGGAGAATTTCCAGTTCAATCCAAAAGAGTCTAAACACCGAGAATCTGATTACCAAATGATAAACTTACTTCCTACTCCCGTTTCCTAAGTTCTACATTTCTAATTCAGGAACTTAATAAAGGAATCCAACCTGACTTAATTCAAGTCTTTTGTACTTTAACGGCTCTACCACGTACGATAATATCCCCGTCTTTATCTGATGTACATTTTAATCGAATTCACAGGAAGTTATGTGCTCAACCGCTTACTAAGAGCTTCGTTTGTTCCGACTTCATTTGATTATGCAAAAATTCAGCTCACCAGGAAGTCTATGACTCGATTAAAATTCAACGCGGACTTGACGCGGATATTCATTTACCAGTCGTAAGATCGCGAATCACGGGCCAGAGGTTATCCAGAAAGGCAACGTCAACCGACACCACAGGGAATGTTTTCTCGTTACCGATACTCCCTAGGAATCTAAGCGTGCCTCGTCTCGCGGATACGGGATCGCACGATCGCAAAAAGATATATGTTACAAGGTAGCGATAACGGATTCTGTGGTTTCACTTGGTGCATCACGAAATCCGTGAGATTCGTTTGAACTTCTATATCTTGTCTAGCTTCCAGTAAGACTGGTAGACTCATAACAGTATTTTACTTCAAAGATCTACATTGAACAAATATTATTCGGCTGTTCTGGCTACTTAGCAAAGAAAACAAATTATGATCAGAATGTTTGATACCCCCGGTAGAATTTTAGGCAGCAGAATAAGATGTGTCACGTTCGTTAAAAAAGTTGTTATGCCTAATTTTAGACTCGAATGTAGGCAGAAATGTATAACACGATTAATGGAAAAAAGTTAACGTGAAATCCCGTAGCAGCCGGAATTCCCCACATTTTAATTCAAAAACAGTGAAGTCCGGCTAGAAAACGTTTAACGATTTATAGGAGCGTACCGCTATGCTACGAAAAAGCCTGTTATTTACAAGGAATTTCAATAAAATACGTTGAGTCAGTTCGGATTTCGCGCCAGTAGAATGAGCTTTTTTTCCGACTTCACACCTACGATCTCACGAACCGGATTTCGTGTTCCGTGTTGCACCTCCACGCGAACCCTTTATGTGTCCGAATTTGCATATTCCTGTTATCGCAAATTTTTACACGTCTTCCAGAATATTATTCCGTCGTTTAAATCATTTTCATAATTGCCTACTTAAAATCCTGTTGAACTCGAACAGAAAGTGGAAGTAGAAGTAAAAACAGGAGCTTATTTTGCCAGCAGTCATGAATAAGTACTAATTCGTAAACAAACACGATAGCATTGTCCGATAGATGTTTAGAAACTTTCCACGAGCATAAATTTCTTTGCCGTTTCTCTCAAGTTTCCCCATAGGTACACCTATTAGTGAAATTATAGTGTATACTTGTTGCTCGAATATCTATGGGTTGAAACGCGTTTAAGTAACGCAAAGTGGTGTTACACGACGGTCATTAAATCGAACACGTTACGTGACATTTGAACGTCATTTTATTCCGTGCATAATGCAAATTCACAAATAAGGTAAACGTTCTATTTTCCTGTTAAAAATTGTTCAAAGATTATCCTAGTAACCGTCGTGAGCGTTTTTCAGCACGTACATGTTATTTCCTCTTATAAAAATTGTTCGGTGGCTCGAACAGCACAGAAGTCAGGACGTGCTCGCGTTTCGAGTGAGTTTTCCGAAAGGTTTTGCTCTACGATTGCCTCACGTAAAGCATAAATCTAAGGCCCGTTTGCCACGATCATCCTGCACATATTTTGCAACGCGTCAGCCTCGTTTCATCCACGATTGCACGGCGCACTGTTCAGTGGATCGAGAGAAACGAACACGCGAATCTTCTGTTACGCTTCGGTATATAGCGCTCGATCGAGCGAACATCGTTTACGATCGACAGCTCGTAGGTTTACTTCAGGAGTCCTTGGGACTACTTTGTGGTCTATCTTCGCTTAGACAGAGCGAGGATTATGAAACGGAACGAAGGATTACCAAAGGAAGAGTATTCGCCGCGCGTGAAATCGTAGCTGGCCTCGCTGTCTGTTGCGAACACGAAGATGCATGGGTTGCTGCTCGTTGGAAAGGAGAACTCGATTGTTCGCCCTCGTTACCGAGCAAATTCGGTGGAAATTCTCCGGCGAAACGACTCGAAAACCGTGTCGAAATATCCCTTAGCAAGCTTATAAACT